AGAGAGAGAGAGGCTAAGGACAAGGGCTTCAGGAAGTAGTGGTGCAGTTAGTGTAGGGTGTGTGGTTAGATTGGGGTGTAGTTAGTAGCCAGGGCTTGTTGTCAGGGTAGAAACCCCCATCGGGCGGGAGGGGGGGGGGTCAGGGGTCACGGTGGGGTCACACCAGCCACTCATCAACTGCAGTCACGTGCGTCGCCACCGTGGCGTCACACCGCCGAGCGCCCCCTACCGTCCACGCTGCTTACGTCAAGCGGGGGTCGCTGCGAGTGGGTGGGGGTGGGGGGGTACAAGCGCCAGGGGGTGGGTTGAGGGTGGAGTTACCACCAGTGCGGAGCCAGCCCACCAGAACCCGAGGGTGCGCGCGCGTGCATGGAAAGAGGCGGAGAGAGATGAGGGAGAGAAAGAGAAGAGGGAGATATAAAGAGAGAGAGCGAGATAGAGCGAGAGCGAGGGAGACACACCCACCCACTATTCTTTGTTAGTTCCCACCCCCACCCCGGTGACTGACCGACCGGTAGGTGGCGCTCGCGTCGCGTCGGTGACGTCACGGCCGCTTGCAGTCGCCCTGCGTTAGGACAAAGGAGGAGGCGGGAGAGAGAGGCGGGACAGGGGATTTTTTTCCTCGCGACCGAGTAAAAAAGGGTAATTAGGGGTTGATTCGATTTAATATCGCACGAAATAAAACGTGACGCGCGAACTGATAATGGAGGTGGTGGCCATGGTAGTGGCGATGGTGGCGGTGGCCATGGTAGTGGCAATTGTGGTGGTGGCCATGGTAGTGGCGATTGTGGTGGTGGCCATGGTAGTGGCGATGGTGGCGGTGGCCGTGGTAGTGGCGATGGTGGCGGTGGCCATGGTAGTGGCGATTGTGGCGGTGGCTGTGGTAGTGGCGATTGTGGCGGTGGCCGTGGTAGTGGCGATTGTGGCGGTGGCCGTGGTAGTGGCGATTGTGGCGGTGGCTGTGGTAGTGGCGCTTGTGGCGGTGGCTGTGGTAGTGGCGATTGTGGCGGTGGCTGTGGTAGTGGCGCTTGTGGCGGTGGCTGTGGTAGTGGCGATGGTGGCGGTGGCCGTGGTAGTGGCGATTGTGGCGGTGGCTGTGGTAGTGGCGCTTGTGGCGGTGGCTGTGGTANAACATTAATTTTTTCTCCGCTGGTTCCGAGGGGGCTATGCTATTGTAGCAATGGCCCGGGCTATGATATTTAAGAGTGCGGGTGCCAATTGTTCGGAGCATGGCGGGGCTCGGCGATAGCTCGAGTGGCGGGCCGCAGGGCATCACCGAACATATTAATGATAAACACCTAACACACTCATCAGAAGCAAAATGTGTTTACTGGTGAGTATGTCGTTGGAGGCATGTCCTTTTGCATTCGCACCCCTAGCGCATTTTTTCCCAAACTGGCCATTACCTCCTTTGTCTAATTTTCCCTCAGAAGAAACTCCGAGTTCTTTGCGCTTATTTGCCGTCCTTTCTCTCTTCCCGCAGGAACACTGCGCGGACTCTTCAACCAGGTGTCGACCGGCGAGGAATTGGTGCGCGAAAGAGCGATCAAGTTTCTGGCCACCAGCGTGCGCCACCTGTCCGATGACGTCCTCACGCCGGAAGTCGAAAACACGATCGTCGAGGCCGGCAAGAAGGTGCGGGAAAAGTTTTGAAATCGAACGCGATGGGACGAGTGTGAGAGAGATCGTTAACGGTAGACACCCGGCGCATTTGATCAAACGTCAGGTCGCCGCTGCGTACGATCGGCATAATCACCATTTGCGCTCATTAATTGACATTAATTCGTCAAATAGACAATTTTTCAAAATAAAAATGGTCCAATTTCAAAATGCGAATATCCGAATAGTACAAAATGGACAAAACACTCAAATTTCAAATAGACGATAATTAATCAATTAATTAGTAACTAATTTATAACGTAGCTTTTTGGGCTGCAGGTGTTGGAGGACGTGACGGGCGATGAGTTTCTCCTGCTCATGACACTCTTCCGCAACCTGAAGGTGATGCAGACGCTGCTGGGACGCAAGCAACTGCTAGACATCGTCACCGAACAAGCCGACCTCGACAAAGCATTCGAGGTACGACGCGGCGCGGCAGCGAGAGACAGCGCTGATCGCTCGACGTGTAGCGCGAATAAAATATATAATCATATAATTATATAATATGTAAAAAAAATAAAAAATAAAAATAATATAATAATATAATATATTATGAAAGATATTATAAAATAAAAAGATATAATATAATAATATATAAAAACAAATAATCATGTAAGAAAATAATTCCCTGCGGTGTTTCGAGCTGCTCACAGGTTACGGGTGTTGGGTGTTGCATTTCGTGTCCTATCGAGGCAGTGATCCTTCGCACACGCCGCGATGTCCGTCGTCACTGCCTTCCTCGAGAACTTGACTCCACTGTTGTTGTTGTTGTTGTTTGTAGGCGGAGGATGTGGAATGTGTTGACCGACTGATCCAGTGCGTTAAGCAGGCCATGCCTCTCTTCTCCGTGAGTATACTACGCGCTCGCGTGGGTTTCGTAACGTGCAGCTAAATTACCGGTTGTCACTT